GGAGGGAGGGACTGAGACTGCCTGGGACTGACTGTAAGGCCCCAGTGCCTACTGGAATAAGGCCCCTGCAGGAGCCTCCTCAGATACTGGAGGGAAGTTAACGCTGGCAGACACCCCGAGACCCTGGCGGCAGCGAGGGAGGGGAGCGGCTGGAGGGCCTCTGGGCGCAGAAGCCAAGGGCAGGGGCTGGAGGGCGAGGCTGGGAAAGGCAGGCCTTGGACGCCACCGGGGCTTGTGCCTGCCCAACTGAAGGGTCCCGAGACCCGGCTGAGAAAGACCCCACGGTGCCACACAAACCCACTGCCGGGGCCCGGCTGGCACCCGGGAGGGAGGGGGACCAGGAAGGAGGCAGCTCCTACGGGACCCAGGGGGCGAGGGAGGGCCCGAGGAGGGGGGCAGCAGGCAAGGCCACACAGGCAGGCTCGCCCAAGGAGGCCCCAGCCTCTGGGCCCCTTCTGAGGAGCCACCGACGGCCTCCACCCAAATTCGCAGCCTCCGAGGTCATGTCCCTACAGGAGGAACTGACCTGAAGGATGCTTTGTAAACCAGCTTAGAAGCATAAAGACCAGGGAGCAGGCCCGAATCTAGGCCCGGGAGCTGCATCCAGGATGCCAGTCCTTAGGCTGAAAGGCACCTCGGGAGATCCTCTTCCACACCCTCTCAGCTCTCCCCTTTCAGAAATAGGGCAGTGGCGCTCACAGAGGGCAGATGACCCTGCTTAGTGGCAGAGCTGGGACAGGGACCTAGGATCCTCGCAGACGGGCCTTTCCAAGGTGCCACTCTATCCCCTACACAGTGACTATGAAGGACGAAGTCGCCCACAACGGCCAGAGAACGCGCACCACCAAACCCACCATCCTATCCTCCCACCTGCGGTGAAGACAGACGACTCTCATTCGGGTTTCGGCGCGTCCGACACCCAGACCCTCATCTATTTCCAAATGCACGTGGACGGGGGCTTCCTCCGGTCACGTCTAGGCCGGCAAGTGGGAAATTTCCTTGGGACTGAGTCCGTGACACGAAGCTGAAAGCAAACAAAATCATTCTATGTATCCTCAAGGTAACAGCGGGAACAGGGCCCGGGG